CAGCCACTGCACTCCAGTCTGGGCAACAGAGCGAGACTTCAACTCAAAAAAAAATCAAAAATTAAAAAAATAAAATAAAAACATATACTCTAATTTTTTTGGTAGTTAGAGACTCAAGATTCTTGTATTTTATTTTATTTTTTTTGAGTTGGAGTCTCACTCTGTCGCCCAGACTGGAGTGCAGTGGCCGCTCCCGGCCACCGCAGCCTCGACCTGCTGGGCTCCGGCGATCCTTCCGCCCCAGCCTTCCGCGTAGCCGGAATTACAGGCATGCGCTACCACGCCCGGCTGATTTTTTTTTATTTATTGTAGAGATGAGGTCTCGCTGCCCAGGCAGGTCTCGAACCCGCGGGCTCAGGCAATCCACTCACCTCAGCCTCCCAAAGGCGCGGGATTACAGGCTGAGCCACCGAGCCCGGCTAGAGACTTAAGATCTTAAAAAAAAAAAAAAAGCTAGGAGACAAATTGAAAAATTACAATTTTAATAGAAACAGCTATATAAAAATTATCTTTACATTTTTTCTTTAAAATTATCATACAGTAAATTCATACAGCTCTAGCAATTTTAAAATATGCATACAGTCACATATCACCACCACAATTAGGATACAGAACAGTTGTTATATCATTCCTAAAATGTTCCCTTCTTCCCACTCCTAACCCCTAAGAATCACCAATTTTTTTCTCTGTCACTACAGTATTTTCTGTTTGTGAATGTCATCTAAATGAAATCATACACAGACTGGCTTCTCATTGTAGTTTTCACCTGCATTTCCCTAATGACTAACTATGTTGAACAATTTTTGGAATAGCTATAGTTTTAAAAACACAAAGTCTTTTTATAAAAGTAACATTTACGTTACTCTTTACCTTTTCACAGCAGCCCATCCTGATAATATCCAATAAAGCACACAAGGTATTTTCACAACAGTGAAGTCCAGCAATTAATATGATGGCATTAAAAAAGATAACATTTTTTAAAACCCTACCTTTTCTTGCTGAAACCAAGCCTGCCAATCCTGAAACTGTAATCACTCCCATTTTCGGAAGAAAATCTCGAGGAGGGTTCTTCAGATAGACATATGCATCTCAAGAAATCAGTTAAAAAATAATATAAATGTCTGACAACTATTGGAAATTCTATATAGTTATAATGCAGAAAGGTTAAAGAAATTTGCTAAGATAATTGTGGGTGGTTTAAACATTCTTCAAAAAAGCTATACAAAATGAGAGGCAGCCAAAAAAGCTAGTTATAATACTGATTACAAAATAAGTCATCCTTGCATAGTTGATTTAATGATATCTATTTTCTTTTCCCTTTTTTTTGTGCCAGGAAGCAGTTTTATTCGTGCCGGCACTGGTTCAGCAGATTCACATCCAAAGGCTGAACCCCGAGTGCAGGGGGGCACTGCCTATTATACAATTTTAGCTTCTTTGTTCCCCTGATAAAGGTTACATATTAGTAACATACAGGCTAATTGGGTATTTCACAGCTCAGGGGTACAGCAGAGTTACACATGCGCACTAGAGATCGGGGCTACATTCCTTTCTAATATGAATCTTTTAAGAAAGTTCTTATCTTATGATGCTAGAAGATCTCTTTCATTATTCTGGGAAGGCTTCATGCTAAGAGGGTCCCTACTCTGTCCTGGGAAGGCCTTTATCTTATTAGGCTTCAGGGAACGGCTCCCTGCCTCAAAACAACCAGATAATAAGATCTCGTGTCTGGTTTTTAATGCTTAACAAAAGCCTAGTACAAAAATAATATTGAGGAATAAAATTTAGGAAAACTTTAATTCCAAATTGAATTAACTCTCTGCCCCATCTGGAAAGTTTATAAAAATGCAGATTCCGAAGTCTACTTACTATCTGCAAAATCAGAATCTATAATTGGTCTGGGAATCTGTACTTGTAAAAACTTTCCCAGGTGATGCTGATAATCTGCCAGATTTGAGAGCATCCCTATGGGAATCCTAGTGGAGATCCTTCTTTAGGCATAAAAAATACTACCTTAGATATCTATTTTCTTAATGATAGAGGTGATTATTACTTTTTTTTTTTTTTGAGTTGGAGTCTCACTCAGTCGCCTAGACTGGAATGCAGTGGCCGCTCCCGGCCACCGCAGCCTCGACCTGCTGGGCTCCGGCGATCCTTCCGCCTCAGCCTTCCAAGTAGCCGGAATTACAGATGCACGCTACCACGCCCGGCTGATTTTTAGATTTATTGTAGAGATGAGGTCTCGCTGCCTAGGCGGGTCTCGAACCCGCCGGCTCAAGCAATTCACTCACCTCAGCCTCCCAAAGGCGCGGGATTACAGGCTGAGCCACCGAGCCCAGAAATTATTACTCTTTAAATATGATGTTAGAGAATGATCTTAATATGGATCAATATAAGGTAAATTCTAGATTGTATACATATTATATCCCTATAATGAACATACTTCTGCCCTTATCTGTTCAAACATTGGTAGGCACCAGTAAAAACTGAAATATTTTATTAAGGAGCTTTGAATAATAGTTTCAGGACACATGCAGCCACTAGACCTTGCTTGTCACTACTCCCCAATTAACTTCAGAGCAGCTGCTGCTCTTGATTAAAACCAATAGTCAGTGAGCCTAGGCAAAAATCAAATGAAGAGGGGGCAAAAGTCCGGATTTCTTGGCTTTCTATATATTTAAATTCCTTCTGGTTCCAAAAATACATTATTTTATCATAGTTATTTAATGGCAAACACATAATTAATTCTATTCCTTAAGATTAATGAGAGATATAATTTTTAATTCCTAATACATTAGATAATGATAACTCAAATACAGGTCATCAACTTCATGGAGACACAACATTTTTGCTGATCTTCTGTCCCCCATACTTATTTTAACAACCTGAATAAGCCCATAATATTAGGAAGCTATATCTGCTGCAAAACATTATTAACAACCTATAGAGTCAAATGCAATTGCTTTCTATCATTCACTTAAATATTCCAGGGATACCGATTGCTATAACGTTTTCTAGCAATCAATAGCAAAAAACGATGTATTTTAACAGCAAACAGCAGTTAATAATTATCAACGATGGAGATATGTTTTTAATTTATGCTTCATGATATATGATATAGATTTTGTAGTCAAAACAGACCTCAGTTTGAATCCTGGCACTGACATTTACTAACTATCCTTGATAACCTACTTAACCTTTCTAAACCACATTTTCCCCATCTGTAAAATGAAAATAATTATAGCACCAACACTCACAAAATTGTGACAAAAATTAAATTAGATAAATTATGTAAAATGCTTAGCAAAACAACTTAGCATATCTAAATTTGAAATTAATGGTTACTAGTGTTTCATTCAACAAACTGTTATACAGAGTGTCATTTAAGTTGGTAAAAGCATGATAATAGATAACATACCATGTTTATTTTTCTCATATTTAAATTTTGCAATTTAAAAACACAATAGAATATTTCTTATTATGAATGATTCCCTCACTTACCTTTTCCAAATTGTACTGAATCCATTATTCCATTTTTCATAAAGGCATAAAAACCCTACGCAAAAAGGGGGGGGAAGACATCTGTATTTTTAAAACTGCTGATAATTAGTTAAAATTGCCTACATCTCTGTGATTACATTAAAAAGCTGACTTAGCATTACACCCAAATCTAAATCCAGCTTTCCTATAGATTCACTATGAGTATACTTGCTTAACATAGCTTGTCTTCATTTCTTGCTTTTCATTCTATTTAACATGAATTACACGTTTATCATTTTCTTCATATAAATGCCCATAAGATAATCAGAGCAGCTCACAGGGAAGACATCGAAAAAAGTAAAGATTTATCATCTTATTTTATAATGTCCTAGAAAAATGAGTGAGATTTAAATAAAGCAAGAAGGGACATATATTCAGCTTAGAGGTAACATCTAATTAATAAAGATGCAACAGCAACATGTTTATAGAGGAAAAAAAGAACAAAAAGCCTAAAGAACAGTGCTTCATCTTAACCTCTTTTTCTTAGTGTGCATTCAAGTAATAAAAACCTAAACAAACATCTTATATAGACTAGTGTCCATGTTATTTTTAAACAGAAACATAAATTTTCTATAAATCAAGATTATATTAACCCATTGGAGGAATCAAAGCTTTAAAGCTAATCTTTCCTTTTACCTGTTTCTAACTAATTTATTGTATACAAGAAAGAGTGTTCAAATATTTATTGAGTGGTAGGTATTATCTCATTTGCATCAGAAGAAAAAGGAAGTCATAAAGTGATTTACTCATAATCATGCTGTACTATAATGAAAGAACTAGAAAACACAATCCAAACATATGGTTTCCTTCTCTGGACTAGCTGCTATGAAACCGTAGATAAAAACAAGAACAAAAGAGATTTTCAGAGCAAACAGAAATGTTTATATTAGACAGGAAAGAAATACATTTTTGTTATAGAGATATTTTGGTTCTGTCATTTTGCCTCAGATATTTTAATAGTAATCAGAAATGCAGAGGTACATGCTGGTTTAAAAGCTGTACAAATCAGCATAATCCCTAACTACTACTGAGTTATTTCTCTTTAGGAAATGTCTTGAGAAAATATCACCTTCAAAGTTAAAATACCTATTAATTAGTAGATTAGAAACAATTTAACTATTAAGGAAGAAAACTAATCATTTCTTTTGAAAATTTTCCTTAGCTGTGCTTAGGAATTCATTTTTGCCACTGGAGGTCACTGCTATCAACATTTCAAAACACTAAGGAGTAGGAGTAGGAATTGAGTTTGCTCTACATGATTCTAGGTTTAATGCAGAATATAATTTGAGCCAGATGTAATTTTTAAAGAGTAGATTATATTTTTAGGGGAAAATTAGAGAGGAAAAGTTTACATTGATGATAAAATGCATTTGAAAGTGCCCTTCTTCCACCTATTCATTTCAGCATAATAACAAAATAAAACATTCTTTTAGTCTTAAACTGGGTGACAGTTACAACAGCAATAGAAAGATCTCCCAGGAGCAATTTACCTCACTGAAGACAAATTTGAGAACACTATGGGAGATTAGCTCTCAGGAGACTTAAATGTGATTCATCCAGCTATTGGCATGTAGCATGATTCAGACCACAATTAGTCAAGATAGTTCCCTCTGAGATCAAACTATTAAGAGTGTGAAGTACAACTTGTACCATTAGAATCATATGACAAGCACAAGTTATCAAAAATAACATCATTTATTCATCAGATGTTCAAAAATATCATCTGGAATCGCCAGAGTTAATCTCCAGATTTGGTATTTCACCTAAGGATAGATTATTTTTCATAAACTCATTGGATTTCTTTTTTTAAAAATGCACAAAAACTAAAAAAAGCAAAAGGGTTTACAATCAGATAGGCTATATTTGGAAAAAAGTTATGTAGTTTTATGTTAGAATTATAAAAACACTGTTATCAACTTTATCATTAAGATACTGACATTGGAGATGTTGATGCTAACACCAGTACGTTTATGTGATGATAATGAAACATTAGTGTTGTATCAGCTTACTCCACCACTCTGCTGCTGATTAAAAGCTATGCATTAAAGTCAGGTGAATTTTACTTTGCCCAATAGCTGATTGTAGTCAGAAATGGTCTTGTGAGTTAACCCCAACAAGTGAACATTTTGCTTAGTCAAATATGGAATAATTCAGAAGTAATTTCAGAACTTCACGTAAAAAATAAACAATGCTTTGTACTTGCTAGGTGACATAAATGCTTGCTGACCTATGTTAATCTATGAAGCAGTGGTATTGTAGGTTAAAATATGGCCACAAATTATTTGCTACTACTCCTGCTGAAAGGTGGCATCTAATTCCTTTTCCTTTAAAATTGGGGACTGTCCTTAGTGACTTAACAAAAAAAAATGCTGCAGAAGTGACTTTCTTGGACATTTGATGATAGGTAAGAAGGTTAGCAAATTCTGCTTAAGGCCTCTTATAACAATGTCTTTAGGAGCCCTGAACTGCCTACGTAAGTTATCTAACTGGAGCCTACCACGCTTGAGAGGCCATGTGTAGGTGCTCAAGTCAAAGCTCCCAGCTGAGCCCAACCTTCCAGTCATCCTTAACAAGGTACCAGAGATGCAAATAAGGCTGTCTTGAATTCTTTAGATCAGCCTGTTTGCCAGATGAATACCACTGAGTCACCTGTCAATACCACATGCAACAGTAGAATCATTTGTCTGAAATCTGATCAAATATTTGAACCACAAAATAATAAGATGCAATATAATGGTTGCTGTTTTTAAGTCCCTACATTTCAGGGTAGTTTGTTAGACATCAATAAGGAAACTTCTGATATTAAACCACTATCAGAATTGACTTACCTTGCACCAGCCAATATAATGACCACTTGCAGTACGGATGGAAGCAAAGCCCATTTGTAAATGACCAGGCTGTTCTTCAACATATTTAGACTGGAGAGGTGGTGCAGTATATAAGGGGAGCTAGAGGCAAAAAAAAAAAAAAAAAAAAAAGTTCATATCAAAAACACAAAATAGTTGGACTGCCTGTTCCAAAAATATGGCAGAATAGAAATCCCCACCAACCTTCCTCCTAAAAACAACTAAAAATGCAGAGAAAATATTTTTCAACATATTTCATCAAAAAGGGTACTGCATAATGAACATTTGTATACCTAACCCTGAATTGTACCCCACATCTTCAAAATTAAAATTAAAAAAAAAAAATTTCAAATGCAGGGATGATGTGGCAAACCGGTTATAAAGACTATTCAAAGACCAGAAATTGAGTGATGCCACATATGACCTAGCGGCTCTACTCATAGGTGTATTTAGAGAAACTGCCATTCTTGCACACCTAGAGTGATGTACATTAACGTTCATAACAACATTTTTTTTTTTTTTTTTTTGATTTGGAGTCTCACTCAGTCACCCAGACTAGAGTGCAGTGGCCGCTTCCGGCC